GACCAAGATCTCCAGGCGAAGGAGCAAACTCTTGGGAACTCTGAATGACCTCAGCTTGAATATTCACTTCTTGCTCCACTTGGGCTGCGCGATCAAGGGCCTCTTCCAGCCCATCGTCTGATGAAGCGGATTCACTTGCTCCACCATCGTGTCGCTTGCCATGTCTTCGCTTCTTCTTGTGTGGTTCCTTCTCTGCCTCCTTCACTTTTCCACGCTTGCTCTCTTTGTCCTTCTTGGAACGCTTTGGGCGCTTGGGTGCTTCGTCAGCACCCTGCTCAGCATCATCATCATCATCGTTGCCTTTGCAACGACCCAAAACTGTTAGATCAGCATCCTCCTCTTTCTGGCTTTTTCTCCCACGTGTTTTTGCAGCAGGCCTTTTGAGCACTGGCTGTGGCTCTTCTTCCTTGGCCTCTTCTTCACCAGATGGTTCTTTGTGTTCTGAGCTTCCTGAAGTCTCAACATCACAGCGGCTCATCAAATTGACAGAGCTTTTTCCTCTGGAAAGCGTGCTGCCTCCAGTTGGTGTGGTCTGCTGACTTGCTCTAACTGGAGCGCTCCCATCGATGATGGTGGCATAGTCCTCCATGGAGAAGGCAGGGCTCACCAGGACATTCCCCAGCCCAGAAGTTCCTGCCATTCCTAATGAAATTGACTATGCTAAGCGCCAACCGCCTATGATCACAAAAGCCTACATTGAGCAAAAGCAAGGCAGAGTTTTGTCAACTGCTGCGCAAAAGTTCAGCTCTACCTACAGAGGGCAAGATGAAAGAAAGGCTTGAAGTTGTTACCTCTTTTTTCCCAGAGGCTGGTGTCTCAGAGATTCAGCTTGAATCTGACTTATGCCAGGTGGCATTGCTTGATTGCAATGTTACGCTTCGGATTGCACCACAAGCGGCGTCAAATAACTTCATAAGCATCACCAATTACCAAACATACTGAAACAGGGCAATTGTGTCCTACTCACACCAGGCTTTACAATGAACAGTGCAATTCTGAAGATCCCCAGTCAGGCATCAAAGTTGCCAAAAACACATCCCAGGATTCCCCAGGCTCAAAAAAAGCTTGAGAGCTTCATTTTCTTGGGCTACAATAGCACCGCTCAAGACCGCACACGGCCTCACTGGAACCAATTGAGGGCCCTCACTGCCTTCATTGTGAAGCCTGCCAAGGCCACACAGCCAGTCAAGAACAAACCAACAAATGGGCACCTCAACCGCCAAACGGTGGAGACAGTCTTGTTCGATCGAGTCTTGGCCAAGTCCGTCTTGGCACCAAAGGTCAAGGCACTTGCCTGCAACAACAGGCAAGTCACAAACTCAAGAGAACTTCATGGTTTTCACTATGAATGAGCAAAATTCAACAGCAATGAGCAATGGTGGCACACTGCAGTAAGCCTTCCAAGCATTGGAAGTTACAGCAACAAGTTCCATGCTTAATTCAATCAATGTCACCACCACATACCACATGCCTTGGTTTTCTTCTTGCTGACCTTCAAGGCGTCAAGTAAAAAGCACACGGTAGTCTCTGGCTCAATCTTGATGGAGCCAGCATCCTTGGTCAGCCTGTGTTCAGCAACCTTGCAATTCACTTCCCCTGCTTCCTCCAGAGCTTTGATCAACCCCCACAGAGGCATCACCTGGCAAAAAAGATTGGCTTGTCCATTTTACATTTTAAAATGTCTATGATTCTAAGCCAAGTCCAGGCACCGTTTTTTGCAAACAGAATGAACCCCACCTTGTTCCAAAAGCTTTCAGACTCCAAGTGTGACGGCACTGAGCGCTGGCGTTCCAAAATGACTCTGGAATCGCAATCAATAAGTTGGAAGCTCAAACAACGCCCCTGTGAGCTAACGTCGCTCATGACATCAGAGGCTTCTGTCCCCCCTCAAGAAGTCACCAGACCCAAACCCATAGAGTTCTGTGTCACACTCAACTGTGACCTTCGAGCCACTGACCAGCCACAGGCTGTCCGTGCACCACGCCAATGAAAATGTTCCACAGTTCAAAAGAATCCTGCCCAGCAAAAAAGAAACAGAACTAAGCAACCACAAAGCACAGTAAACTAACTCTTCAAACTCCTTTGTTGGTCTCTCTCTCCTCTCTCTCTCTC